CAAAGGCTCTAACTCCAGAAAAACTCCTACGGCAATTTGAAGTAAAAGTGCGGAAGAAAAAGTAAGTGTGGCTGCTCGCTCTCCCACCAAGACGGGTATTCCAGGTTCCTTAAAAAATCTCCTTTCCGGCAAGAGAAGGCGGCAGAGATGCTGCCTTCCCTCTAGCACCTGTCGTTCCAGGCTTCTCCAAAGCCAACAAGCTGGGGTGTGTGCCCAACCGCCAGGCAGCTGAGACTTCTTCCCAGTGGCCCGAAAGGCAGGCTCAGCCAGGGGAAAAAAACCATGTGGCACAGGACACCTACTCCACAGGGTTCACGTCAAAGTCAACTGGGATAACAAGTGAGAAAAGAAAAGTCGAACTGGGAAAGTGCAGGGTATCTGCAGCACATCAAGGTGGTCATCAGTCCACTACCTTGCCAACTCCTTTAACGGTAGGAATTACATTTATCGTGCACACGGATCGGCACACGGAAATAAAACAGAAGTTTCGTGAGACAACACTTACCTTCCATACTGTGCTATGCCTCTGCCCTTTGGTGTCCTTTTATGTTCCATTCCGTTCTTTTTTTACGCTGACCATGAGCCACGAAATTGATTTTACAGTGGGTCACGATCCGCGACCTAGCCCTGGGTATGGCCAATAAGAGGTGCAGTCCTTGCTCTGTGATGCACACGGCACCCCTCTCTCTCTCCAGAACCCAGGCATCCAGATGGGACCTCAGAATCCTTCTCAACGCAGTGCTCCAGGCAGCTACAGCCAATCACTTGAAGTCAGAATCAGGGATGAAACCTATCTATTATTATCCTTGTTCTGATCCAAAGCTCTCAAAAACTGAGGCTCAGAAGGAAAAAGTGATTTGTCCAAGGTCATACAGCAAGACCTTGGGTGAACTAGGGCTCCTGTGGACCCACAAGGCCACTTCACTTTACATCACCAGGGAGGAGACACTACTGACCCCAAACATTAACAAGAGCATGGAAAAAATTTAAATTTTCACCACGACCACGGAAAGTCAGCATATACATCCATTAAAACACGGCAGGGGAAGTTCTTATCACCCCACCAAGGAGAAGACATGAGGATTCTGAGGTCAGAGGTAGCAGCATGCCAAGAGCAGAGTCAAAAGTTGGGGGGGGAGGGGGAGGAGACACTGTATGTGACAATGGAGGAGTTTTTAAACTCTGTTTCTCAAATGAAACAAACCACTGGCTGTTTATTTTCTAGAACCAGGGAGAGGTCAGCCTTATGCTGACCAGCCATCTTTGTTGCTTTTCTTCTGCAAAAGCAAGAGCCCTTGTTCAAGTTCACCTCTGTGCAGGGCTGAAAGTATAAGCAAACCCTTTTTCCTAGTTTGGTCCAAAGTCAAGCTGTAAAGCAGGCCCTTGAAATTTCAAACCTTATTAGAAAAAAAAAAAAAAATCTCCTTAGGCAGAAAAGCAAAACATTCAGTAATAAGAGTCTCTACTGTAAAACAGTATAAATGATCTTTCACCAAAATAACTCAGCCCATCATCAAATTACCACCCCTCGAGTCCAATTTGCCAGATTTTTTTGCCCAATATTATAAGACAGTTTGGTGAACAGACATAGGTTAATAAAAATGAGCTCATATATCCATTTCTGGTCACACTTCCATCTAAAATAGGTGAGAGAGGCCAAGGCCTAGGTCAGATCTCAGTCCTGGGAGACGCCAATAGAAACAAAAGAGAACTGACCCCGCCCCCAACAGTACCATCACGCACCTCTATTTCCTTTACAACAAACATGATCAGGATAACCAATTTTTTTTTTTTTTATAAAAGGAAAAAACAAGTCTACAAAACAGAAATGATTTTCAATTCCTCACGGGGGTCCCCTTGAAACCAGACAACACAACAAAATTTCACAGAATGGAATTGAAGGAATCTGAGTTGTGTGTCAGGAGACCCAGGACACACAAAGGGACGTGCTGCAATATTTGTCATTCCTTACACCAGAAATAACCTGTGATCTACAACCCTGACTTTTTCTCAGATGCCCAGTAGGGGGGCCCACCTACCCCTCCCCAACCCAGGGCAGAGCTCCCCTCCATCACTTGCTAAACTCAGTCCTACTGTCTCATGAGGCCTCCAGAGCCCTTGGAAATTACAAATTCTTTGACCGTCCTAGGCATCGGCCTAAATAATTCAACAGAAAAAAAAAATTTTTTTTTCAATTATGCTACTTAAAAAAAAAAAAAAAACTCATTCCAAATATGTCAGAATATGGCCGGTCAGCCCTGAAGGATGTCGTTACTAAAAAAATAAAATCTCCCAAATGCAATGGTGATGATGGGAAATGTCGAACCTCTGCCACCATCAAATATATTTCACAGATTTCGCATCCCCTCAAATTTGAATCCCCACAAAATGAGGTGGGAATCCACGAACTGGGGCCACCATTTTTGCCAAGACCAGCTGGTAGCCAGCGAAAGGGACACAGGGTTTCCCGTCCTAGCCCGGTGTGACCCACCATAACCCCCACGCAAGGTTCCACCAAGATCCCACCCTGCCAATGCTAACAATATTCCCCCCTCCTCTGAACAGAAAAATTAAAACTTTTTTTTTTTTTTTTTGGTTCAAAATCTCCAGCAAGTTCAACCAGATACTAATTCATCACAAATAACCCTTCAACTTTGGGTGGCTACCTTATTTTCATCTGCTAAATTTCAATTCAGTCAATATTTGTCCTCTAAAAAAAAATTTTTGTTTTCACCTTCATTTGATTTCATATTAAGGCCAAAAAACTACATCAAATCCTGTTTGCATTTGTGCTTTTATGTTCCAAAGGCAAGTACCTTTGGGGCTGGCTTTTGTGTCTATTTTCATTTTCTCTTCCTTTTAAAAAAATTAAATTTTGATGCTAGAATCAGCCAAATTGGTGTTTTACCCCATTTTTTCAGCAAACTTAAGTGTTCCACTAGAGAAGATGGGTAAGAATCAAAATTTTCATCTCCTCTCTGTCCTCCCTTCTTTTATCTTTCCTTCTTAAGTCAGTAAAATTTGTGTTTTTTTTTTAATCACAGACCCCCCCAAAATGATCAAAGCGAATGGATTTTCTTTTCCCCTTTCAAAGTAATCAAATTTGTGAAAAATACCAAATGCTAATGAACTATCAACCCCACATCACAATCAAAAAGGCCTAAAACCAATCTGGATTTCTTAAAAAATAATAAATTTTTCAAATTGGAAGAGTAAGCAAGCACAGAGAACGGAAAATTCTCTCCTACCAAGGATTCTTCAACCCTTGTCTTTATCAACTGATTCAGTTGCATGTCATAAAAAATGAGCTTCTGTGAATCCACTGTTAGTTTTTTCATAATAATGTTAATTATGCATATCTTATTTTAATGGCGGTCTCTCCTACAAATCTGTGGGCTACTCAATTTGTATAATGTAATGAATTTACATTTTTTCACTGAATATTGCTCAAAAAAGGTTCCTGACATTTTCTAGATAAAACAACAACAAAAAAAGAAATGCCTAGACCTTTCAGGAAACAAAATCAGAAAATAGTCTTAATTATCCCATCAAAACAAAAAACAAAAAAACAAAAAAAACAACACAAAACCCAACAAATGCAGGAAAAAAACACAGGATTTCACTCTAACTTTTCCAGTTTCTGTTTTTCTTTAGAACCTTGGGATTTAAATGCAGTAAAATGTAAATGCAAAATTGGAAAAAAAAAAAAAAAAACTACAATTTTTGGGTGTGTCCAAAGCCAACATTTTAGGATCTATTTTCTCTTTTAAATCCTTCCCTCTTGAAAACAGAAAAACTTTAAATATTGCCAAATGGCAAAATTAGTCTTTTCTGCCCACTGGGCTAAACAAGTTCCAAATTACAATGAAGTACAATTTCTAATGGCTTCATAAAGCCAATTCTCCCAGTTTTCTCTAAACTCAACAATTTCCCTCCTTTCCTCATTCCAATTAGTTTTTTTGTCAAACTAAAATGAGTTAGGAAGCCAAATTGACTTCGGTTTTAGGAGGCTTTCTGCTTTCTCCCCCTCAAAAACTGAATTCATTCAAATTCCAGCTTAATTTTCATTTACATATTATCTGGATTTGGCTTCAGAAATAAAAATTGTCTCCATGCTCCCAGAAAGATCAAAGTGAAAATTTTCACCCCAAAAAAGAAAAAAAAAGAATCCTTTCCCCTTCCACTGCCTTATAGTGCAAACTTTTGAAAAAATAAGAAATAAAAAATATTTCTTTTCAATTTTAATTTCTTTTTTTATTTACAAAATAGTATCCTCTAGGTGGCGTCGTTTTAATGGGAAAAAACTACCGTTTGAAGAAAAATTAGAAAAAAAAATTGAGAAAGGGAAATATGGCCTAAAAAAAAAAAGATTGTTGCAAAGATGGGGGGCCAGAGGGGAAAGACCTCCCGGGGGGTCATCAGGGACCCCCGAGCGCAGAGGGGGTCAGGAAGAAATTGCAAATTTGGGGGGGAGGGGGGGAGAGCTGGAAGGGGTTGCATTTTTGCAAAATGTGAATTGTCCAAACTGAAATGGCTGCTCTGTTCTCTCGCCGCTTTGTTTTCTGGGCTCCGGTCCGAGCCCGGGGCTGGAGGGGGCGCTGGGTGGGGGCCCGAAGAGACCCCCGCGTCACCCCCAGCCTCCTCACGCCCCGCGGCGCCCGGGGGGGCTCCCCAGACCCCGACCCCCCGGTTTGCGCCCACAAAAAGCCCGCAAACGTGCCCAGGCACTTTGCATTTTGCAAATCTTGCAATGAAGTGGCGCAGCGCCCCGGGCCCCGGCCCCCCGGGGTCCCCCGCGCGGTGCATGCCCCCGGCCCCCCGTCGTACCTGCGGAGCCGCCGCGCCGCCCGGCTGGTTCATGGGTCCGTGCGGGAGGAGGCGGCCCCGGCGCGTCCTGCTCCTCCCGGGCCGGGCTGCTGGTGCGCGCACAATGCCGCCGCCGCCGCTGCTGCTGCCGCCGCCGCCGCCGCCGCCGCCGCTCCCTCCTCCGCCCGCCCCGCTCAGGCCGGGGGGGCGGGGGCGCGCGGGGGGGGGCGCCCGGCCCTCGCCCCCACCCCCGGCCCGCACCGGCCGCCGCCGCCGCCGCCGCCGAGCCGCCCCTCGCGGGGCCGCCGCCGCCGCCGCCCCCCGCCGCCCTGCCCGCCCCCGGGCCGGCCTCGCCGCGCGGCCCGCGAGCTCCGGGCCTCGGCCTCGGCCTCGGCCTCGGCCTCCGCGCCGCCGGCCTCCGCGCCGCACACAAAGCCGGCCGGCCCCCGGGCGCGCCGCTCCGGCCCGCCCGCCAAGCCCGGGCCGCGGCGCCGCCGCCCCCCAAACTTTCCCGCGCCGCGCCCTGCCCTCCCCGCGCCCCCCGCGCCCGCCCCCCGGCGCCCCTCTGCCCGCCCCCCGCTCGCCAGCCCCTCGCAAAGGTCATGTTCGCGGTGGAAAAAAAGTTTGGGGAGCCGCCTCTTGGCGGAACACAAGGGGTTAATGGGAACTCTTCTGCTCCCCCCCAGCCACCCCCCAAAAATCAGATTGATTTTTTAAATAAAGTTTGAAGAGCTGGCCTTATGGAGGCATTGCGAGGCTCAGTGGGATGTTCCTCTTGCCCCTGCCTGCCCCCTTCTCCAAAAAAAAAAATCTAATATCATTCAAAAATAAAAGTTTGAAGAACCAGCCCTGGGTCAGACAAGAGGGTTTAAGGGGACTCTTTTTAGCCACCTCCCAATCAGACGGATTTTAAAAATAAATATTTGAAGAGCTGCTTTTATGTGAAATGCGGGATGAAGAGAATATTTCTGTCTACCTTTGTCAACATTTTTTTTAAAGAACAGATTTATATTAAAAATAAAAGTTTAAAGAACTGGCCCTGGGTGAGACTCTAGGGGTTAAAAGTTAAGGGGGGTCTAGCCCCCTCCCATATCCCCCAATCAATTTGATATTAAGAAGAAAAATTTGAGAAACTCTATGTGAAATACATTGTGAACAAGAACATTTCTATCCAACATTCAAAATATCAGATTTTTTTTTTTTTTTTTTTTTTTAAGGAACTGCCTCCCTATGATTTGGGAAGGTCTAACCAGGACTTTTTTTTCCCTGTCCTCACCTCCCAAAAAAAAAAATCCTAATTTTTTTTTTTTTTTAATTAAAAGTGTGAAGGATCTAGCCCATAACAACACAAGAAGGATTACTGGATCCATCCTACATCTCCCACAGATGATTGATTTTTTTTTTTTTAGAATAAAACTTTGAAGAACTGCCCATATATGAGATGAGAGAAATCTTTCTTCACCCCTCCGAGAAAAATGTAAGGATCCTTTTTAAAAAATAAACACATTGGAAATTAAGAGTAAACAGGTATCTTTCCTCTGTTCCCAGCTTAAAAAAAATCAAAACAAATTTTTTTCTAATGTTTAAAGAGCTGGATCAGTAGGAGATAGGAAGAGGTTTTTTTCCCAGAATTTTTTTCCCTGTACCCCTCAGAAAAATTATTTTTTAAATGTCAGGCAACTAAGGAACTGTATAGGAAAATACTCTCTCCCTGTAGAAGCAAAATATGGGAATATAACGCTACATAAGACGCAGAGAATTAAGAGGCGCAACTCTTCCCCAGACCAAACACACAAAGTTAAGAGGCATCTTCGAACCATTCCCTCCTCTGTAAAACGTTGGAGTCATTAAAAATAAAAAGTGGCCATTTCCCTCCCAGCCAGCCTGGCCAGTGTGTCCCTGGCAGAGATCTGGCGTCCGCTGCCAAGGCTGCTGTAAGGCAGGCACTGAGAGGAGCAGGTCAGCCTGTGGAATTTGGCAGAATTGGGCTCCCATGAGCCCTGGGCATATGTGATGGCCAGGCAGCCCCCTGCCCGCCTGCCCCTCATCTGCCATGTGGCTGAGGCCTTGTTACCCAGAGAGATGGTCCAGGTTTGATTTCTCTCTGGCTCCATTCCTGTGTGAAAGTTTCTGGGCACCTGCCTCAAGGCTAAGCCCTCTCCTCTACCCAGTGGAGCCAAGCCTATCTTTAGGCCCTGAAGTCGAAAGAAACTGGACCCAAATGACACTGAGTCTCAGTCCCCGTGACTCAAAGCTGTAGGGTACCAAAGGAAAAAAAAAATTAATCCTGCCCTGTCAATGTGGAAAACGTGATGCAGTAAGTATTCACCGAGCTCTTACTTTGTGCCAGGCATGTTGTGTCTAGCAAAGCAGACACACACCGTAAAGAAGAGGATAGCTTGCAGCAGCCCTTCTCAAACTTCAGCAACTCACCAGGAGGGCCTGTTCAAACACAAATTTATTGGGCCCCACCCCAGAGTTTCTGATTCAGTCTGGAATAGGAACTGAGAATTTGCATTTCTAACAAGTTCCCAGGTGATGCTGATGCATTGGTCTAAGGTCCACACTGTTTAAACCATTGCAAAAAGGTGCCAACAGCAAAATGCACAGGTACAGGAGAAAGAGGAAGGACTCAAACCAACCCCGGGGTGGGGGGGGTGGGGGGGGTTAGCAAAGACTCCAGGAGAAATAACATCCAGCTGGAAGGTGGGTAGAAGCCTCCTTCCCCTCTAGCTCTTAATCAGATGGCAGCCTCTCTCTAGATCAAGGATCCTTAAATCCTTGGATAGGTGTGGGGATCCATAACTAAGCAATTTTACATCTTAAGCAAATTTATGTCTCTATGTGCATTTGGGGAGAGAAAATCTCTGCCTTTCACCAATTTCTCAAAAGGGTCAGTGACCCCAACCTAGACTGATCTGCAACCTAGAATGATTTCCAGGTAGAGGCGCCTGGAAAATCATCCTGGGTCTTTCTCATTCTCTTTCTGGAATCACTGCAAGCCCTTTCTGCTTCTCAACTACCCGCAGGCCACAGGAACTGGGCTTTCTCTCCCATTAGCACACCCCGACAGAGTGCCCAGGGTGCATTCAACACTGCCTAGAGAGGCATGTCCTCAACAAGGGTCCCAGGTCTGGAGGGTCTGTCCCTTCTTCACTCTGTCCCTGCTGGGCCATGAGGGTATGCTAAAAACACGAAGATTGAGCTTGATGCCTTCCTGAAAAAATCCAGTTTCTAAATGAATACACACATTTCCCAACCAACAGTGGAAACTACCCAGTCACTCAGAGCTGTGATCTGGCCCCACTCTGGAGGTTAACAAAGGGGAGGTAGACTCACCACAAGCAGGGGACTAGGAAGAGGGAAAGGACAGGGAGAGGAGATAAAGTACGTAGTAAGATCCCAGGGGGTGAACCCCAACCTGCTGAGCGATGGAACAGGCACCATAATATCACAGAGAAGGAATGGAGTGGCCGTGGGTCACAGCTGCTGAAGAACAGACAACATACCTGAGGTGCCAACTTAGTCCAGTGGGACTCCAAAGGTTTGCCCATCCTCTAAGGGCCCATCATTCAGTGACAACCATATGTTCATCAGTTTCTGAAAACTTCTGACCCTGTCCATGTCCAGGCCCTGCCTTCTGAATCAGCATTGCCATGCTAACACCTACAGCATAATTATGAAGAGCCCAGGCTGTGGGGTCAACTGCCTGACATCTGTGCCTGGCTCTGGCCCTCACAGACTACATGATCTGAAGCAGACAACACAGCCTCTCCTTGCCTTCAGTTCCCCATCCTTCAAATAGTGCTGAGAGCAGTACCTACCTCCTAGGGGTCCTCAGAGGACGAAATGAGAGAAGACAGGTAAAGCTTTTAGAAAGTGCCTAGTGTCAAGAAAGCACCCCATCCACGCTCTCCATTGGAATCACAGAGATGTGTTTCTCACCTCCGCCACTGACTGACTAGCTCCATGGCCCTGGGCTCCCGGCTTAATCTCTAAACCTTAGTTTCCGTCTCCGTAAAATGGGGGCCCCCAAACCTACCAGTCTTAGCAACACTCTTTTAGCTGTAACCAGCAGAAATGGAATCATGCTAAACTTAAAAAAACGGGGGGAGGGAGTATTTTGTTAAGTTAGGAGGTAGATCATGGTACCCAAGGGCAGGAAATGAAATGAAGCCTTAAGAGGATGTGGAGCCAGGAACTAGAAGGTCATCGGGAAGGGGCTTGCTTTCTACCTCATTCTGGGCCACAGGTTTCTTTTTTTTTTTTTTTTTCTTCAAAATTATTCCCTAAATGTGTTTTTCTATAGGGGGAGAGGAAGAAGCAGGCTCCCCACTAAGCAGGGAGCCCAACGACGTGGGGCTCGATCCCAGGACCCTGGGATCATGACCTGAGCCGAAGGCACACACTTAACCGACTGAGCCACCCAGGCACTCCTTAGGGCCACAGGTTTCTTGACGTCACAGCCCTATGTCATTTCTCTGTCTCTCTCTCTCCCTCCCTCCCTTCTTCTCTGCCTGTCTCCATGCGGGTACTCTCTGTGTCTCTGAGCACACAGTCAAAATGGCTGCCCCACAGTTCTCTAGGTGCTAACAGGTGCTGACCACGTATCTCCATGCTTCAGTCCAAATTCTCAGGGCAGAGATGCGATTGGCCAAGCTTGGCTAGATGCCACCAGGAGCCAATCATCTATGACCAAAAGGAGCAGGCTCATATAATGCCCATAAACTTCTGAGACCTATCCCTGAGGGAAGGGGGTGTGGTGGGTGGCAGACCCCTCTAATGTTGAACCTCTTAGAAGATTATGAGGATTTGCTGAGATCAGGAGTATAACAGTGCCCAGCTCAGGGCCTGACACAGAGACACACACAAAAGGTATGCTTCCTCCTGCTGGAGTCTGAAGACATTTGAGATAACCAGGGGTTGAGGATAGCAAGATTTTGTCAGGTGTCAAGCTTTTGTCACAGGCTCCTGAGGAGAACAAGGAGACAGGAATTGTCCCAGAAGTGACCTTCAGGTCCCAAACAGAACCTGAGGCTTGGCTAAAATTTTGTGGGTAGAGTTTGGTGGAAGAGACCATTCTAGAGTGAAACAGTAGGTCCTCAAGGGTGTGGGACAGAAGGAAGGCAAGGAATTCACAAAATGGTGTCTTCTTCCCCAAGTGGGCTTCCTTTTTTTAAGCCTAGGCAATGAGAAGTACTCTTTTGTAACAGCCCAGCCAGGGAGACTTGGGCTCCCCAAGTCTCTATTCAGTGGAAGAAAACCACACAATCCAGTCTTATAAAATCTCTTAGCAATTTATCAAACAAGATGGCAGCATTTTCTTACTTGACCTGCTACTTCTTTGGAGTGGGCAGGGATGGCACAATCACCCCCATTTTAAAGATAAGGAATTTGAGGCTCAAGTCCTTGGCCAAATCAGCCAGTGGCACCCAGGTCTGACTCCCATGCAGTGCTCTTCCCATCATACCCCCGCTGCCCTCTGTGGAACTTTCTAGTAAATGGAATCAAAATCAACAGATTCTTTAAATCATCTTGCCTTGGCACCAGAATTTTCCTCTTTTCCTTCCTTTCATGCCTCTCCCACCTTTCCCTCAAGTTGGGAAGATGTGGCAGCAATTTACTTCCTCAAGAGAGATCCTTGCAAACCATGGACAAGTCTCTGAAGAGGAAGATATCTGAGGCCTTGGCAGTGCCGCAGGGTGGTAAGTCCAGGATGAAAAACCAGAAAGGAGGAGGACCCAGCACAGGGACCAGTGAATCAAAAGAGAGAGATCAAGCTGATGGCCCAGACCAAGAATCAGAATCAGGGTCAAATGTGAGTGGTTCAACCCTGGATTCAATAGCAAAAGCTCATATGCATCTACAATGTCCAGCATGTTTCATATACCTGTTCCATGGAGCCTGCCATCCCATGAAGCCTAGAGATAGTCTAGCATCCTAGGGAAGATCTCACCCTGTCTCTGCAGTTAGACCTGTGTAGGAATTCCTGCCCTACACTCACCAGACTGTGACATTAGCCACCATAAAAGCCTCAGTTTCTTCATCTGTAAAATGGGCAAAATAAGGTACCTCATATAGAATATATTAAAGGATTAACTTATGCCCTAAACACACGGTAGTTATTGCTCTAGTCCTGGCCTATTTCCACTTTAACATATGTAAGGAAATGCAGGCACTGGGTGGGCGGGAGGGTGGAGTCACCCTCATGTGAGCGGGGTTATCCAGCCAAGAAAGGAACAAAGTCAGCTTTGGAGGCAGCTGCCCCAAGTCCAATAGGTAAACTCCCAGATATGGCATCATTCCTGATTTTAGTTTGCTGGATTTCCAAATGGAGAAAGACCCAAGCCAAACTGGCAGAAGCTGGTTCGTCTCTTCTCCTAATGTCATCTGGAGGCCCCCCAAGGAGGCTTTAACTTGTCCTTTCTGCCCAGCAGGGATTAGCTGACACTGTGGTGTGGTATGGGGTCAGGCTTTGGATTCAGACTGCACTAGGCTCAAATCCCAGCTCAGCTCCTTTCCAGCCACGTGAGCCTTAGCGCCTCACACTCCTATCTCTGAGCCTCAGTTTCCCTAACTGCTAAATAGGAGTGACAACAGATACACCCATGTTTTCTAGGAAGATTAGAAAAAAACAATGAACCCCAGCACACAGTAGGTATCCTAGATGTTAGTGATGATGACTAATGACGGTAAGATCTCAATGGCTTGTATCTGCACAACTGTCCAGAGGGTGGGACATATCCGATATGACAGCTCAGCCATGACACCATTCAGTTATGCTCGTCATGTCTCTCTGTTAACAGATGAGGAGAGTGAGGCACAGAAGGTCAATGGAATATACTTTTGCCAGTAAATAGACACACAGACCTGATGTACCTCCTGATGTGAGGCACGGAGAAGAACCAACAGTGCTTACATCGAATTCCTGCCAAAAATGCATAACCCAAATCTAATCAGAAGGAAACATCAGACAAACCCAGATTGAGGGGCATTCTACAAAACAACTGGCCTATATTTTTCAATAATGTCAACGTTATGAAAGACAAAGAAAGGCTGAGGAACTGTTTCAAATTAAGGGAGACTAAAGAAATATGACAACTAAAGGCAAAGAGTAATCTGGAATTGGACCCTCGAGCAGAGTGAAAAAAAATTGCTCTAAAGGGCACTGTAGGGACAACTGGTCAAATCTGAATATGGGGGGCGCCTGGGTGGCTCAGTCGTTCAGCGTCTGCCTTCGGCTCAGGTCATGATCCCGGGGTCCTGGGATCGAGCCCCGCATCGGGCTCCCTGCTTGGCGGGAAGCCTGCTTCTCTCTCTCCCACTCCCCCTGCTTGTGTTCCTTCTCTCGCTGTATCTCTCTCTGTCAAATAAATAAATAAAATCTTTAAAAAAAAAAAATCTGAATATGGTAGGCTATTAGATAACAGTATTTGTGTTAAATTTCTGAATTGATAAATGGTGTATAGTTGTATAAGGGGTATTATACAACATCTAAAACTAATGATGTAATGTATGGTGATTAACATAACAATAAAAACTTTAAAAAGAGGTATTATACAACTATAGAACATTTATTTACTTAACACAAGAGGATGTTCTTGCCCTTAGAAAGTACACACTTCTGGGGCGCCTGGGTGGCTCAGTCGTTAAGCGTCTGCCTTCGGGCTCCCTGCTCAGCGGGAAGCCTGCTTCTCCTTCTCCCACTCCCCCTGCTTGTGTTCCCACTCTCACTGTGTCTCCCTCTGTCAAATAAATAAATAAAATCTTTAAAAAAAAAAAAAAAAGTACACACTTCTTTTGTAAAGGATGTGATATCTGCAACTCTCAAATGGTTCAAGAAAACAAATTTTATATCTATTTATCCATCCATCTATGCATGCCTATATACGCCTACATATCATATATCTATGAGATAAAGCATTAATATATGACTGCATATTAATAATTAACAAATCTGGGTAAAGATGATGCAAGAGTTCTTTGTACAATCCTCACAACTGTTCCACAGAACTTTGAAGCTATTTCAAAATAAAAAATTAAGAAAAGTTATTTATCTGAAATGTTCGAAAAAGCCAGAAGCCTACACTGAAATTAACTTTCATCAGAATGAACTCTTTTTTCATTGTATGTTTGACAGCAAAATTTCACTCATTGATCACTGGTTGGTCCACATCAAAACCTGCTGATTATTTTTTTCTAACAACATGAGTTTTCTTTTGTGACCATTATTTCTACCATGTCCAATTTTCCCAGGCAAATTTCGTGATCTAAATTTTGTCAAGCAGATTTAGGGTCTTCCATCAATTTTCAGTCAATAACAATGTTTACTGTGTGCAGAATTAATCTTTGTCAGTTTTTTTTCCCCCGTTGCTTATTTCTACTAAGTAAAAATTTTTCCAATTTTTGTGATTTTCAGTGTTATCAAAAAGATTTAATTCTTTAAACAAGTTTTGTTTTTGTTTTTTTCTAAAATTAATTTTAGGGCACCTGGGTGGCTCAGTCGTTAAGCGTCTGCCTTCGGCTCAGGTCATGATCCCAGGGTCCTGGCATC